CTATCTATCTATCTATCTATCTATCTATCTATCTATCTATCTATCTAATCTATCTTTATCTATCTATCTATCTATCTATCTATCTATCTATCTATCTATCTATCAATCTATCATCTACCTACCTACTTACCTACCGTATCTACCTACCATATCTATCTACCTACCTACTGTATCTATGCCAGTCTGTCTGTCTGTCTGTCTGTCTATCTATTGATCCATCTATCACCTACCTATCCACATACATGCTCATTAAATAGATTACTTTCTTTCTATATCAACACTTACTACTAGTGTAACCTCTGGGTCTAATCCGCAAGCCTCTAAAGCATCTGGTGCATTTCAAGAATACCCTCAAAGCAGCTTATGGAGTTTCAGGAAGCAACCAGGGGGCGGGGTCTACTTATTTATTCTAAAAAGCGATTCCCTCAGAGAAAAACGAAGGCCAGCTCTGGGTCTGAGTAAGCAAGATGGGTGGCCACCCAGTGCCACCCACGAATGAGGGCTTACTTTAATGCCTCCAATACGGTGCTCCCCTTTGAATTCTTTGCCATTTTTCAGCCAGTATATGGAAGGAAGCGGCTTGCCAGCTGACGGGCACCGGAAACGAACAGTATTGGCAGCTGGTACCGCCAAAAGCTTCTTGTCCATCCTGTCACGATGGGTCCAATAAGGTGCAACTGCAAAGACAAAGCAGAATGAGAGACGTCACCCGAGAAAGACTGCAGGCCTTCAACTCCTGAGGTAGAGGGTCTTATCTCCACCAGCTTCCTACCAGGGGTGGCCTTCTAAGCTGAACTGAACAGCGGCTTCCAGCAGTTGTAGGCAGCATAATCAAAACTGAAGGTTGCTATAGAACTAGATAAATGGCAGAAACTATGGGACAGAAATTATAAATTAACAATGTCAACAGGGTATAAAGAAAATCTGTATTAGATGTTCTATAGATGGCATTTAGCGCCAGCAAGATTGACAAAGATGTTTAAAGATAAATCAGCTAAATGCTGGAAATGCCACCAGACAGCAGGAACATATTACCATATGTGGTGGACATGTACAGAAGCCAAAAGATACTGGACAAAAATACATACATGGTTGGAAAAGATGATAAAACAACATATCGATTTAAAACCTGAAATATTTCTTCTGGGGATGATGCCTGAAACTTATAGTAAAGAAAATGTATATGTAATCATTCATGTATTAACCACAGCTAGAATAGTATTTGCACAAAATTGGAAGGGCGAAAAGATTCCGATAGAAGAGAATGTGATCAAGAAAATATTAAAATGTGCAGAAATGAATAGATTAACTTTGGCAATTAAAAAAAAAAGAACAAATTAAATTAAATATTATAAGATATGGGATTTATTTTACCAATGGTTGGAAATTTAAGATGGATAATGTTACGATTAACTAGGTATAGTTGGAAATAAGAATATAGTTATTGACATTATAGTAAGAAATTTGAATTAATTATAACTGTAATTGTAATTATTATTGCACAAGATATGTACCCAGTTGACACACTGTTTGAATGGATGGATTTGTTGTTAAAATTAAAAAAATATTTTTTTAAAAAAAACCCTGAATATTGATGGGGGTTTGGAGGACTACATGTTACCCATCCTTGGGTAAAATGATCTCTCCGTGAGCACATTTAAGCATAGCATGAAGATGAGAAAAACAGGTTGAGTGAATTCACCTCTAGTCACTTGAAAAGCTAAATGTCTGTGGAGATTTCTCAGTCATTCAGGTCACAATTGTCTCAAAGATGCTTTTTCAAAAGGCAACTGGACTTTCTGGATTTTTTTCTTTGAAAACATTTTGCTTCTCATCCAAGAAGCTTCTTCAGTTCTGCAGGATCCAATCTGGGTCAGTCACCAGACCAGAGATTTTTGTCTTCTGAGCTTTTGGACTCTTGCTGGAGTTTGAATTTGGGGGAATTCTTCTCTCTTCAGTTCTGACTGAAGCGAAACATTTTCAAAGGAAAACAACAACAACCAAGAAAGCCCAGTTGCCTTTTGGAAAAACACCTTGAGATGGTTGCAAAGCCAAAATCACAGAAAACAAGCTGACTTCTTTTTCTTGTTAGTGTTGGTACAAACAAATGGGTGAGCAGTAAGTTCACTCAAGTAGAGATTTGGTCAGAGGAAAAAAAAAGACAAGTCAGCACATCCAGAGTAGACGCCGTTGCATTGCTGGTGTTGAACTGCAGACAATGAGGAAATGAAAGTTGATGGGGCAGGTTGTATAATTGCCTTGCCCAGACCAGGAAGGGTAGAACAGCTACACTGGCTCACAAATCCAGTTTTTACACTCCAACAAATCCCTCTATCCACTTTTGTTCAAAATGAAAGGTCAGTTTTCTCTCGTTTTGAGGGAAGACAGACACTAGAGTAACTTAAATTTGCTCAGTACAAACTCCAAAACTTCCTACAAAAGAGGAATGCAATAAACAAAGAGCTATTGAGCTTGTTATTGCCATCAAATTATTAGATTTCCTGACAGTTTCCTGACGGAATAATTAACCAGTGGAACAGCTTGCCTCCAGAAGTTGTGGATGCTCCATCGCTGGAGGTTTTCAAGAAGATTGGACAGCGACTTGCCCAGAATGGTCTAGGGTCTCCTGCTCGAACAGGGGGCTGGACTAGAAGACCTTCAGGGTCCCTTCCAACTCTGTTATTCTGACCATATCTTATCCTAGCAGGTACCTCCAATTGTCTAGTACAGAGGTCTCCAAACTTGGCAACTTGAAGACTTGTGGTCTTCAACTCTTTTCAACTTCAGTTCCTGGCTGAGGAATTCTGGGAGTTGAAGTCCACAAGTCTTCAAGTTGTCAAGTTTGGGGACCCTGATCTAGTTAGTAGTCTTTTGATCAGGCATTTGTGGTGAAAGCCACTTCAACTTCATTACTGACTAATGAACAACATCTATGAAGCCTCCTACTGAAAGGAACAAATGCATTGAATTCCACAGCACAGCCTTGAGAAATGACAGAAGTACAAACCATCATGGCTAAAGGGAGAAATGCCACATTTCCACTGCATCTCACAACTTTTATATTTTGTCTAAACAAGCACTGTCGACGTATGTATTTAAGAAGCTGTCTCCATCAAAATGGAGATCTGTAGATTTACAGAAACAAGCAAAACTCCATCTTTGGTCCAGATCGACTGACTTGAGCTCCAGATGATAATAAGTTGTCGTCTTTCAGTCAAGAACTTGGAAAGGAGGTTTCTTTGTAAGAATAGGTTTTTAGATCCTCTGAGTGTTTGTCTATGAACAAAGCAAATTCGCCCCCAAAGTATGGGCAATGCACCCTACAAGCATGATAGATTATTTTTTTGCGATCATAGCTATCCCAAAGATGCTTTTTCGAGAAGCAACTGGACTTTCTTGTTTTTCTTTGAAGACCTTTCGCTTCTCATCCAAGAAGAAGCTTCTTCAAAGCGAAATGCCTTCAAAGAAAACCAAGAAATCCAGTTGCCTCTTGAAAAATCACCTTTGGGACAACCATGACCTGGAGGACAGAGAATCTCCATAGACCAAGGGTCTTCAAACTTGGCAGCTTTAAGACTTGTGGGCTTCAATTCCCAGAATTCCTGAGCTAACATGACTGGAGGAGGAATTCTGGGAGTTGAAGTCCACAAGTCTTAAAGCTGCCAAGTTTGAGGACCCCCTACCTTAGACATTTATCAGAGCTATCATAGAATAAAGTTTCAGGCTGGGGTTTCAAGTGAAAAGCTGATACTATAATCAAACTGTACCCATGTTCCTGAGTGAACCCCACGAGGCAACAGAAGGAAATAAGCAGACCGAAGCATTCCCCTTCTTTATCTCTGGGGGATCAAAGCTGAACCTCGGACGACGGACAGGAAATGTGACTCTCCTGAGGTCAGAAGGTCCTGGGGAGGAGCTATCGGCTGGAGAGGGCAGCGGATCTGCTGAGTTGGCTCCAACAGTCCCAACAAAGGAAATGTTTTGGGGCAGCTATAATTACTGGCAAGGGATCTTGCTGTGGGATTTGCCAATTAAGAGTCAATTCAGAGCACAGACCCAAAGCAATTTCATGGGATGGTGGCTTCGGAGAACAATCAGCGAACGCCAGACTACATCCCCACAATGAGCACAAAGCCACGAAGATTAGCTTTGCCGGCTGGACAAAATGCTGATCACACGGACACATCTGGACAGTCTGTCTCCTGCCCAATTGCAAAAAAAACAACAACACGAAATGCCATCCGTGGCTGGAAAATGTAAGAGCACGCAACCTATGCTTTCTGAAGTGAATCTTCCCGGAGACTGAAGCCTGAAGGAAAGGCAAGACAAGACAAAGCACCTAGAACACCTGTAGATGTTCAGCAAAACAGTTAAGAAGAACACACAGAGAGAAGGTGACTAAAATAAGAAACACACCTGGTGAGAACATTTCTTAGGTGCTCTAGAACAGGGGTCTCCAAACTTGGCAACTTTTAAGACTTGTGGACTTCAACTCCCAGAATTGCCCAGCCAGCATGACTAGCTGAGGAATTCTGGGAGTTGAAGCCCACAAATCTTAAAAGTTGCCAACTCTGGAGACCTCTGGTCTAGAAAATGCTCAAGGCGGATAGGGAAGCAATCTCCTTCCAAAATATTGTTCTGAAACAAGGCTGGGCAATTCAGAGTTTGGATATGGCCTCCAGTGCCTCAACATCAGACTGTCAAACCTGGTTTATCAAATGACAGGGTTTCGAGGTTTCAGGGGGAGAGTGAATTGTTTGTCCCAAGAGGCTCGTCTTCACATTTTTAACCTTAGCATTTCTCCCCAAACAAATGTTCTCCCCAAATGTTTCCAAACTTCCCAACTTGTCCACGTACAGACCTCTCTCTTTCTCAAAAAAAGTATGGAAACTGAGGGCAAATAAACCAAGAAAATGAAAAGTATTTATTTCTAAGAGTGGTCCTAAGGAATGTACTGATGAACAGTTGGCCAACAATTGGCCAGCGTCAATGTAGCAAGAATGATTCTTTGATTACCACAAAATGTTGGCCAGTGCTGCCATCACTGGACTTATGCACACAGTTTTGGCTCATCCACACCAACCTTCAACCTGAAGCTTTAGGTCATGTGGCTACATGCCATGTATGCAATAACTGCACCCTTGTGTAATATATGACACTGCAATCATTCAGTCTGGCCGAACCAAGTCATTACACAGCAGCCTGAACCATCTTACTTGTTTTAACTCATCCCCTAGAAGGCCTTTTATTCTGAGATTTTATGCTTGCACTCCTTAAAGGGATATTTGTGCCGGGGAACTAATCTGTGTTTTGGTGTGCAAGAGAGACCACAATAAGAGACAGGGCCTCTTCTTTCCAGTTTTGCAAACGGTTTATCATTAAGCAATAGCCCTTTCTCTGCCCGAGCATTCTGGTAATATTTTAAAAATGAAACTTTTTTTAAAAAAATAAAGAGATTTTGGGCTAATGCAGTTTTTCTCAACCGTGGCAACTTTAAGTCTTGTGGACTTCAACTCCCAGAATACCCCAGCCAGCTGGGAGTTGAAATCTACATGCCTTGAAGTTGCCAAGATTGAGGAAAAACTGGCCTAATGAATGGCTTCCTTTTCCCTGGCGTTAAGGGAAAAAAATAAGAAGCCGAAAAGCCAGAGAAGGGGGGGGGGCTAGGCTAACTGGGCTATTGGGCTTCTTGGCTCCGGGACTCTTTTCCCAGCTGCGTAGCTTTCATCCTCGTCTGTTTATTTCCTCCCAGTGTCTGTAGGCCATCTTAGCTTCTCCAACTACAACCTTCTAGGAGAGGGAACAGGCTGGTCTGTGCAGCCAAGGGGCTGTCCTGTTTCTCAAGGCTGAAACCCCAGCCGGGTAGCTACTCACAGGCCTACAACAGGTGGGGGGAAAGCAGGTTTTGCCCCCAACCCAAGTAAGCGTTCGACAGAGAGAGTAGGCAACGCAGAAGGGTGGAAAGAAGGGAAATATTTCTATACATGGCAAGCGGATTATATTTTTATCCTTGGCAAAGTTTTTCAAAAAAAAGTAATTCAAACTCTGTTTACAAACTGTGGGGAACGGGGGTGGTTTTAAAATTAGGTGTTTTAAAAAGAAAAGACAAACAACTTGATCAACATTTGGGGTCTTGCAAAAGGGAAGGCATCGCCATTTGAGAGACCCGGAGAGATTGTTGTAAACTATGGTGGCCTTACTAACTCATAACTGGCTGCTTACTATTCATTTCCTCCTTTGTGCTCTTCCTTCCTTCCTTCTTCCTCCCTCCCTCCTTTCCATCCATCCATCCATCCATTCATCCACCCACCTGTCATCTCTCTTCCTTCCTTCCTCCCTCCTTTCCACGTACCCATCCATCCATTGATTCATCCATCCATCCATCCATCCACCTGCCATCTGTCTTCCTTCCTTCCTCCCTCCTTTCCATCCATCCATCCATCGATTCATCCATCCATCCACCTGCCATCTGTCTTCCTTCCTTCCTCATCCATCCACCTGCCATCTCTTCCTCCCTCCCTCCCTCCTTTCCATCCATCCATCTATCCATCCCTTCCGCAAAAAGGGAGAAGGAGCGTCAAGGACAGAAGAGGGTTGCTCTAAACTCTCTTTGGGTGCTTCTTCTGAGCAAATGTTTTCTCCCAGGGGGCTGAGAATCAGCACCACAGACTTTCTCTCCAACCCCAGGAACTCCCAATAGAGGTAAACAGAAAATGCTTGATCAGAGGGAACTGACTGGCAGGACTGGCTTTTATAAGTGCTGGCTCTCTCTCGCCTTTACTTCTCTTCATGATATTTACCTCTGTCTTCAGAGTCGTCATCTTCATCATCATCTTCATCTTCGTCATCCCCCGATGACGGGGATTCTTGAAATGGAAAGAAAAACAGGTGTAGGAAGCTAGGTTGTAAATATGTATATAAATGTATATAGATGCAAATAGAAACAAATATGTAACCAACATTAAATTAACAACGTAGGAAAAAAGGAAAAATTAACTGTTATATTTATTTCCATGCTATAGTGTGTATGGCTAAAATGACAGCCAAGAAAGGCGCACTGTGTTCAACTGTTTTTAATGTTTACTTAATAAATATTTAATAAAAAAAAGAAAAAGAAAGAAAGAAAGAAAGAAAGAAAGAATTGTTTCCGAAAATAATATTCTGGATACACTTTTGCAATCATCATATAATTAGTGGGACCTCAGCAAATATTTTCTCAATTAAAAAAGATCTTCTCCGTGAGGCTTTATTTTCTTCATGGCCTCATCACACATCTCCAAATATGCCCAAGGTACAAAATGTCACCAAAAATGGATTTAAAGCATAAAGTCGTCCGCAAGCAGAGGCTAGACTAGAAGACCTCCAAGGTCCCTTCCAACCCTATGGTTTTATGTTCTAGCCTGGCATGGCCTGGCCTGGCCTGTGTCTTAGAGGGCACCTTTGCTTTTGAACCAACATTAGACTGACATGCTTCCATGTTCTTTCTGCACCCATTTCCTCTCTATTTATTTTAATTCCCCTGCGTATCCTCTTTTCACCTCCTCCTCCTCCTCAGAAAAGCTGACCGTACAGTGAGAGGCAGCCCCCTGCCTTTTCCAGCTTAGAAAACCAACCTTTAAAAGAACAGAATTAAATAAAGCACAATAAAATTAAATCGAAATTATAAACATTCTAACTCACGAGTTGTTCAGTTAGACTTTTCCTTTGGTGAGCATATTGAAGCGATTTGGCTTTCCAAATCTGGAATAATCTAACGTCGTTTTAAATAGGGTGAGGTGGGTTTTTTTTTGTTTTTTTGTCCGTGTTCAGCACAAACATTCTTTTCATGAAGAAAACCATTAGAATTCCCTGCAGATGAAATGCCAGGATAGTCAGTCCAATTCTCTGGGCTGATTTCAATCTGCATTGTCGCCCGAAACTCTTTTCTACAGCTGCCTATTGAGAACATGTGAACGTGTTTGCTTAAAGAGGCTTTGGAAATATTTGTGAAGAAACCTCAACGTTCCTGGGAAGGGCGTGCCAGCAATATATAATATAGCATCTCTTTTCTCTTTTCTGTAGGATCACGGTTGCATGAGGCCACACCAAGTAAAACGGCTTCCACGGAGCCTTTTTTAATTAACCATTATTTCTTTTTCCCGTTTGAAACTGTCATTTGGAAGCTGAAGCAATTTAAGCTTCATTAAGATGTACTTCAAGTCCTGGGGAATTCCCAGGTTTGGACACGGATGCTTCCCAAAAAAAAAGGAGATTTGGCAACCTAGATAGGACAACTTTTATTTTTCTGTTCTTTTGCCTGGGACTATAAGTTTCCTCCCTTTTTCTTCTCTCCATATAATGTAACGTTTGATTAGAGGGACGCGGTGGCTCAGTGGCTAAGATGCTGAGCTTGTCGATCAGAAAGGTTGGCAGTTTGGCGGTTCGAATCCCTAGCACCGCGTCACGGAGCGAGCTCCCGTTCCTTGTCCCAGCTTCTGCCAACCTGGCAGTTGGAAAGCATGTAAAAAAATGCAAGTGGAAAAATAGGGACCCCTTTGGTGGGAAGGGAACAGCGTTCCGTGCACCTTCAGTGTTTAGTCCTGCCGGCCACATGACCACGGAGACGTTCTCGGACAGCGCTGGCTCTTTGGCTTTGTCACAGAGATGAGCAGCGGCCCCTAGAGCTGGAAACGACTAATGTTTGGTTTGCCTGCACCAAAAGTTTGCTCTCCGTAGAGATCATTGTTTCAAGAGGAAAGAGAGAATTCTACGCTGGTTCTGGATCTGCGAACCTTCTCATCAGTCTTGCCTGTTAGGCTCCTTTTGAAATACGGCACAATTTTGCAGCGAAACAGTTTGGAACAGTTACAGGGGCAGTTGGTGTAAAACAAAAAGAATTTTAATGAAGCAAGTAACAGGTGGAAGATCATGAAAGAGAGATGCAAGCTGGAGCGAAAGAGACATTTCTCCAACCAGTTAGAATCATTCATCAGCGTGCGACAGTTTGGCTCCAGACCTTGTGGGTCCTCCTTCCCTGGAGGCTTTTCAAGAAGAGACTGGGCAGCCACTTGTCAGGAACGGGATGTGGGGTCTCCTGCTTGAGCAGGGGGTTGGACTAGAAGACCTCCAAGGTCCCTTCCAAGTCTGATGCTGGTGTTCTGAATACGGCCGCCCTAAAGATTTGGAAAAACAAAACCCAGCAGATTTTGGGACATCTCTCTATTTCTCAGCTGAGAAACTTTCTCAAGGAAATTGAGACATCTGTGAGAACATCTTCTTCCCCTGTGGAGCTGATAAAGTGATTAAATCAAGACTTGAGTACAGACGACGGGTGGCCTCCCTGCTATCTTCCTGTTTGAGATCCTGGGATTGTCCCTCTCGGCTTCGGGCTCTGGGTTCTCTTCCCGGGGGGGGGGGGGCTTATCTTCCCATTCCCCTGTTTACTGTCGCTGGAATCAGGCACATCATGAGCGAATCAACGTGGTTTTGGCATGGGGCAATGTGGAAAGAAGAGAGACGGCAGCCTTCCCTGAGGTTTCTGCCTGGGGATGTGTGAACCCATATGAGGTAGGAGGACCAAAGAAGTGGAAGCCTTCAACTCAAAGGCCCATAAGCCCCCGTGGGGAATCGTACGAAGAAGGGTTGCAGGAACTGGGTGCGTCTAGTGAGTATAATGAAAAGAAGGACCAGGGGAGACAGGATAGCAGCCTTCCAATCTCTCAGGGGCTGCCCCAAAGAAGAGGCAGTCAAGCTATTCTCCAAAGCACCTGAAGGCAGGACAAGAAGCAACAAGGATGGAAACTGATCAAGGAGAGAAGCAACCTAGAACTAGGGAGAAATTTTCCTCACAGTGAGGACAATTAATCAATGGGAACAACTTGCCTCCAGAAGCTGTGAATGCTCCAACACTGGAAGTTTTAGAAAAGAGGTTGGACAACCATTTGTCTGAAGTGGTGTAGGGTTTCCTGTTTAAGCAGGGGGGTGGACTAGAAGATCTCCAAGGCCCCTTCCAACTCTGTCATTCTATTCTATTCTACCTCCTCCTCCTGGTTGGGCAGGATTAATTCATGAACCAGGTTATCTTAGTATACGGCAAGGGTTCCCAACCGGTGAAGAGTTCCAACTGGCCAGACTTCAACTCCCAGAATTCTCAGCTCTGGCCATTCTGAGTGTGGAATGCTGGGAAGTGAAGTCCACATAAATAGAAGTCATTCCAGCTGGGAAACACTGGTGCAGGGCAGGGGTCTCCAACCTTGGCAACTTTAAGACTTGTGGACTTCAGCTCCCAGAATTCCACAAGTCTTAAAGCTGCCCAAGTTGCCTGGTCTGCTGGCTGAGGGATTCTGGGAGTTGAAGTCCACAAGTCTTAAAGTTGCCAAGGTTGGAAACCCCTGGTGTAGGGCATCGAAATGTAGATGATGGGGTTTTTTTTCAGGTGTGCGTTGCGCAGGGCTATAAAATAGTGGTGGGACATCAGTTGGGCAGTTGTGACTCCTAAAATGGCCCCATTATCGATCTGCTCTCCATCTCTCTTTCTTCCCTGGAGATTAAAAATGGATGGAGAATGGGTGTTTTGAGACAGAGTACACCCAAAGAAAAGGATTGTCTATTTATCTCTCCACAGAAATGTCCCCCGTCTTTTTTTTTTAAAATGTCCTCAGGGACTCAGATAGCGGAGCTTTAAAAGTTGAAGATTAAACCAAGAGGGCACTAAACTCCACATTAAGTAACTATTGTATGTTAAATATTAATTTGATACGATCCTTTGCATATGACATGAGATACATGGTGCAGCAGTAAAACATGATTTTTTTTGGGGGAGGGATAGGATTGCATGTTTCCACTGGCCCACACGGCTTTGAAATGTGGAAAAAGCCTTTATTTACAGTCCCAAAGCTGCTTGTTCAGCTACGACTTTTCAAGGGATCCAGCATCATTTATGCAGACCTATTTAAGACGCCAAGGAAAATCATTAAAAGCAGATTATGCTAATGTAAAGCGATTGGTACCAGTTGCAAATTGAGGGATTCTCCAGGGCAGCCAACCCTCCTCAGCCACGCTCTGAAGGTAGCAGCATCACAGAGGCCAATGGCCTTCTTAGTTTCCTTCTGCCTTTTTACGGGATGGTTTTAAATGTTTAAAAGGGGAGGGGGGTTGTCTGAAATGGCATAAGGTTTCCTTCTTGAGCAGTTGGTTGGACTAGAAGACCTCCAAGGTCCCTTCCACCTCTTGTTATTCTGAAGCAGGGGTCTCCAGCCTTGGCCCCTTTAAGACTTGTGGACTTCAACCCCAAGCAAAGCTGGCTGAGGAATTCCGGGAGTCGAAGTCCACCAGTCTTAAAGTGGCCAAGGTTGGAGACCTCTGTCCTGAAGCACCAACCCAACCACATCCTTTCAAAAGGAACAAGATGGCTGACTGAACGTAAACTCAGGTGGTCCCCCAAGAAACCTCACCTGTGCTACTACAGGGGTGCCTTATATCCAGCCAGACCCAGCAGAACATCTGTTTTCTAAACAAGCAAGGACATCCTGTGAGCCTACGTGTGGCATCTCTTAAGGAAGATCTTAGATGGGTCCACAGCGGTTGCTTGGGCTTTGGCGACAGCAAAATTGGGCTTTGGCACTAGTCAAGGTTGAGGCTGCAGTCTGGGCCTCAGGGCTGTTGAGGGCTACAAGGTACCTGCCCAGATTTCCAGCGCTCCTGACGCTGCCTCTCCTTGTCAAAGCAGCCGACTCTTTGGAAAAACGGCAGCCAGCTTAAGAGACTTTTGAGCTCAGAAGAAACTGGGCGGGTTGCAAATAAACAGAGACACATATTTCTGCTTCCCCTCTTGAGTTTGGTTTCTCTTCAGATGGTATATCAATCTTCTTCATTCAGCGGCAACAATGGGTTTTGGCTCCTGGTTTGTCTCGCCCCATTTCCCAAGCATATTAAGCTACTGGTTGTTCCAGTTCCAATTCCTCTTGGCCCGAACATTCATAATGCGGGGTCCAATCGTTTGTCTAAATAAGGAACTGAAGTGCAGTATCTGTGCCTTTCTGCCTCAGGTCTTCATTCACAAACAGGGGCTGCTCCGTTCAATAGGCTTCGCGTCGCTTGCAGAATGCGGTTGAAGGCAGAGAAAGAGACAGGGATCACGGGGCTTAACTCGGGCTTAACTCGGGCCTACCTTGATTCATAAATCTTACATTCAAGGGAGTCTCTTTTTACAGGGAGACATTAATCTGTACCACTTTGTAAAGGATAAGAAGATAAGAGAATCCGAATCTATGGAAGAATGCATAAAGGTTGTTTTTTTTTAAGGTACGAGGCTTAGTGATTCCCCCCTTTAAAGTTCATGGACTAGCTCCTGATTTTATAATGTGGAGTCTATTCGGATTCGTGTCACTGGATTATAGCAATCATTTTCTCAGTTATGTATATTAAAAGTTTGGATTGTCCTTTCAGTCTTTTGTTTTCGCTTGGTATGCAAATTCTTAGGACTGGCAAGTTTGAATAGAATAGAATAAGAGAGTTGGAAGGGACCTTAGGCAGGAAACCCTATGGCATGACTTTATTCCATTTTAATGCAAATTAATGATGAAGTGTTCCAATGATCCAGGTATCTTCAGAGTGTTTGGAGAAAGAAAAAAATCTGATGACACTGAATTCAGCTTCTGGGGGAATTTACAGTGTGAAATCCCCTCTTTTCATTCCACAAGAATACTTTAAATCAGTTTAGAGAACAATGGGTGTATGGAATGAAGAAGTTCAGAACTCAAGTTTTAATCTAATCAGGCTGAACTCCTGAGAAGTACTGGAGTTCCTGCTGGGCTATCGGGTCCAAAACTTGCACAATAATGCAAATATATATTTTAAACATAAATACTAATAGAAATATACTGTATAATGTTGACCCTTTTACCACAAAGAGCTTTCATTATGGGGTCATCTTAAAATAGCAGGTAAATATTTGGGGGAGGGTAAAATGACTTTCTTATCTTACTTTGCATCATGTAGATTTTGAAGAAGGTGTTTAAAAATGTGCAGAATTCCAAAATAAGAGTTTGATTCAGACTGTTTCTTGGCAATTAAACTCAAACTTTTGCTGTTCAAATTATTTGGATCAGGTTACGAACAAATTATCTAAGCTTCGGAAACCAGTACCCTTTTTTTCCCAATAGAAAACCAATAAAATGTCCTACTTCATTAATTAAAATGATTAGTAAAATTAATAAACCTCCCTGTAATTATTTATATGACCTCCAGAACAACGTATTAAAATGCCCTGCCCTGGTAAACACATGAAAGAATGCTTGGAATAACATGAACATTGCAGTCTTAAAATTAGGTTAATACAATAACCGGTTTGCATGTACAAATATAGAACATCTCGGGGAATGTTTGGTAACGGTTTGCATGTGCTCATGTGGGACGTTTTTTATGATGCCTGCTGGGTTGCAATGGGAATAAAAAATAGGATTTGAATAACATATTTGGACAACTACCCTGAATCCCTTTGGCCTTCCTCCTTCCATGTTTCAGAGAGCATTCCACCACCTGCGTGAACAGTAAGCCTAAATTTAACTTATTTTAGCTTAGAATTCAAGGGTACATAATGTGAAATTCCAGGTACAGGGTGTGCTCTTGGCATCTTTTCCAAAAGTTGTTCCTGAATTTTGCTGTTTAATATGCTAAAGGGGAGAAATACTACAGATGCAAAGGAGAATTACATTATTAAACAATCTGGTGCAGGGATCATATATTGGATTAACAGACTGGACACACACACACACACACACACACCAATTTAGGCCCACAGCCTTGTAGCTCACCAGAAACCATCGTTTCTCAAACCCAACTCACAGAGAGAAATTAGGAGGAGAGAGGGCTACTCTTTTGAATTCTTGGAGGAGACGGAGTTAAAAATCTAACCAATAAATACGAACAAAAATGAAATTGATATAATTCCATTCCAATTTCTTTGCCTTTGCTCCTTTACTTACTAAAATGCATTCAATCAATAAGAAAAAAATATGCACTCTACTGTCACCCAAAGAAAGAACCGACTTTAACGGAGACCTTGTGAGAAATCTATATATTAATCCTTTCTCATCAAAGCCGAGTTTGACAAAAGTACCAACTCACATCGCTGGGGTAAAACTCTTCCAAAACGAGACTTTAAGTAGGATCAAGAGTCTTGTGCGAACACAAACATAAGGAATGGCAATAACCTTTATTTACTGTCAAAAAGAAACCCAGACTTACCAGTAAGAAGCGCCGTACACAAAGGGAAACAATAAAAGGATTAAAATTCACAAAGAGGTAAGGGAACTGGTTAATCTGAGCTGTGATGCAGCCGGATTGAACAAGTGTAAATATTTAACGACTTGGAAGCCTCGACACTTCGCCCTGCAAAGCAACCCCAATTGTGCATTTCTCTGCAGACAAATCCGCCAGTAAGAGGCAAACTCTCCCCTCACCAAACCGGCCAGGATAATTTAGCATTAAGGAGGCTATTAAATCTGTGTGAGAAGCCACAGAAAAAAGGGCACCACACAATAGAGCGGGCGTAACAGGCTCGATATCCCCAGCTGGCACGGCCACAGCGGATCCTGTATTCAGATGTTATTGTATCCCTCCTCTCCTAAATGGAGATGGCCCAGGCCCGAATCTTGCCAGGGTGAAGGCAGGCACTCCCGCACGGGAACATGGGAAATGTTAACTGGCTAGCCAGGCTGAAGGGTCCTTTCATAGACCACCCTGGCAGGCCGAAGCAGGTTGCTTCAATAGCAAGCTGGACCAGGAGGGGATCCAAATGTTCAACTGGAAGACCATCAAAGGCCCCATTCAACGTTCCTCCTCTGGCTCGGGATATGGGGAGCCATCCTAAGAGCCACCAGGGACCCCATATTGAAGGCAAACTTTGACTAAGACCTGAGGTGGCATTCGAACATTTGTGGCCGTCCAATGACAAAACTAAGAAGACTTCAGACTGACGTGGCTGACTCACCTGAGGGTGGTTTTCTTGCAGATGTTTCCTTACTCAAACTGGGTAACATCATCAGTGCTGGTGTTGCTAGCTTAGAGATGATGTTAGCTAGTTTGGGTAAGGAAACATCTGCAAGAAAACAACCAGACTCACGCATTAAAGACCCCACAAGTCTTCCTCCTCCTCCTCCTCTACAAACCCCACTCCCCTCTATCATTGATGATGCTACCTTGTTTTTGTCATGAAACATCTGCAAGAAAACAGGCAAACTCAGAGACCCTCAAGGATCCCACAGTCGTCCTCCATGCCTCCTCCTCCTCCTCCTCCATTCTAACACTGATGATGTTTCCTAGTTGGGTCATGAAACGTCTGCAAGAAAACCACCAAGCTCAGAGAGCACCAAGGACCTCTCATTTCAACCTTGAGTTACAAATAAATTCTCCTTTATTGCTACTGACTCACCTGTAACTCGGACCGTAAAGTTCCTGAGCATTTCCACCGAGTGCCTCTTCTTACAGCTGTACAGGCCTGAATCGTTGTAGGACACATTTATAATCCTCAAGAGTTTTTGACCAAAATGAGTCCGGTTGGTCGGTGAAATCCCAACGCCATCTTTATACCAGAGGAGAGATACAGGTGAGTCCGGAGTACTGCACTGAAGTTCAACTGTATCACCACTTCCAACCACCAACGCTTCGAGGAAACCCGTTTCACTCCTTAAATCATCTGCAAGAAAGGTATTTTGAGAAAAAGCTCATCAGGTTCTCGAGCCTTTGAGATACATTAAATCCGATTATACAGTAGCATTGATGGTGTTCAATGGGGTAAAAACATTGACTGATTAGGTACTATCATGTCCCTGTTGATTCTTAGCAACCACATAGGGAGGTTTTGTCCGGGATAATCCAATCATATCATGGGATAAAGATCAGTATGTAGGTGAGCTTCTCTCCAAATGATTTTTCATGGTTTTCGTTTTAGCTAGCTATCAGTTCCAAGGAATCTTTGATTGCTTATTTGGAATAATTAACCAGTGGAACCACTTGCCTCCAGAAATTGTGGGGGCTCCATCACTGGAGGCCTTTAAGAAGAGTCTGTACGGTCGTTTGTCTGAAATGGTGGAGGGTCTCCTGCTTGGGCAGGGGAGTGGACTAGAAGGCCTCTGGGGTCCCTCCCAACTCTGCTATTCTGTTATCATTGCATCTGCTCCTTTGGCTTCTCACTTCAACCCTTATCTAGATTTTTAAAGCTCTTATTAGCCAAACTTGTACACAGTGCACCTCCCTTCCCTCTTCCCAGCCTCCTTCCTTAAATCGGCTCCTTCCTCCCCTTCCTCTGGTTGCTATTTCCTATCTTCTATACTATAAATTGCTTTTCCATTCCAGGATGGACCTGTAGAACGTGCGCATCATAAGGAATATGAACCTCAGGTGTACAGGAACGGTTTCTCTCCCCGTGACTGAAGAATTGCCTCTCATGCGGGCGTTCCACAAATCCTCTGCTCTTCCAAACTGATCAAGAATGTCACAGTTACCAGGCTAATCTAAGGTTGAGAAGGATCTGTGCCCAACATCCCAATGGCAATCTGCTAAACGGTATCACAGTTCAATTACAAGGGGGTCCTCGTGCGTTGTTGTTTTCTTTCATTCATCGCTTCCTGAAATTCCACCTCTGGACACGCAATCCTGCTTTTTACAATCAGTTTTTCAAAGTAGGTAGTCCTTGCCTCAGTTTCAGTGAAAGTGAAACAGCGGAAGAACAATACTCAGCACATTTGGAAATCTCTGCACTGAGGATAATAAAATTGTCCTCCTGGGAGATTACAGGTTGCCTGCAAACCTAGCATATTTCTCTGGGGGGGAAAGAAAAGAAAGCTGCACATTTTCCTGTGCTAATCTTCCATACTAACTCAAGAGACAACAAATTAGATTGGATCAGACTTCAGTCAGAGCAACATAATCACAATCCCCTTTCTGGAGTTCCGGTTTTGGCTCCTGAAACATTTTGTATGCTCTCAGCACACCTTGTATTAGTAGGTGTCTACGGAGACCAGAAAATCCAGCTGCCTCTTGAAAAAGCACCTCTGGGACTCCTATTAGTAGGTTGGCCAAATGATAGATAAATAGATAGATAGATAGATAGATAGATAGATAGATAGATAGATAGATAGATAGATAGAAAGACTTCTTTATTGGCCAAGTGTGGTTGGACACACAAGGAATTTGTCTTGGTGCAAATACTCTCAGTATACATAAAAGAAAAGATACATTCATCAAGAGTCAAGAATCATCAGGTGCAACACTTAATCAAAGTCATAGGGTACAATAAGCAATCAAATCATACTAGGAAACAGTCAATATAAATTGTAAGGATACAAGCGACCAAGTTACAGTCATACAGTCACAAGTGGGAGGGGATGGGCGATAGGGAGTGATGAGAAGATTAATAGTAATAGTAATGCAGACTTTGTAAATAGTTGGACCGTGTTGAGGGAATTATTTGCTTAGCAGAGTGATGGCTTTCGGGGGAAAACTGTTCTTGTGTCTACTTGTTCTGGTGTGTAGTGCTCTATAGCACTGTTTTGAGGGTAGGAGTTGAAACAGTTTATGTCCGGGATGTGAAGGGTGTGTAAATATTTTCACAGCCCTCTTTTTGACTCAGGGTGCAGGATACATATGAATGCTTATAATTTCATGGGTGTCAAAAGTCCTAGTCTTAAGAAGTCTTATGCCAACTTCAGACCCTTCTCTGAAGTTCTCCTCATAAGCCCCTCTTCCAAGAAATCCATGGCCTGTGAGGAGGGGGGGGAGGTATAGGAAGAAGGTGTCCACAGGTGTGTACCAATTGCAGATACTCATGGAAAAGTAGGGCCAAGAGTGAAGTCTGCCACCATTTTTCCTCACGCCTGAGCCATGTGGACCAACTGCATGGAAGAATCCAACTGTTTGCTGATGCCATTAAAACTGTGGCACAGAAAGCAACAAAATTTAATTTTAAAACATCCGTTGGAAGTTTTTTCTCTCACGCTGTGTCTGTTAGTGGAGTTGACAGGACACTTCCCAAAAGAGCGAAAGGGGCACTTTTGTGTGGCTGGCCACGGTCTGAGCTTAGAAAGGCGCTGTTGTTCTTAGAACTTGGTTTCCAAAGGAAGCCCTGGACTCCTCGCATAATGGCTTGAGACAAGATTTAGCACCTACCATCCCTCCTCCATTTTTCAGTCCTCCTCAAAACGTGATTAACATGCTTGCTTGCTCTGTGCCACTTTGCAAAGGGCCTTTTTCATCCCAACTCTTCCCCCGCCTTCGGCTGGCAACTCTGCAGATAAATGTTCTCCATTCTTATGGGTCTCCCTGCCCTTTTGCCGCCTCCCTCAGATTAAATCTTCCCTTAAAATGGACAGCTGGCCTCCAACATCTCAAGATGAAAATGCAGGATGCTGAAGCTCCCCCAAAAAGCTTCATTAGAAAACAAAAACAAAAAAAAACAACCTTTGGATCATTCAACAAAGGGCACAATGACCAAACTTTTGCTTGGCAAACTAATTAAAACGGAAGCCACCACGGTCCAGAGCCAGCATCTAGGGCCAAACCAGGAAAAGGGGGTCAGGAGAGAGAAAGGGCTAGGGGGGGCTTAACTCCATTCAGAAACCAGCTTCCAACTGGGATTATGCTCAGTGCGCATTAATTGTCATTCCAACTACAACCGTCCTAGTTTCAGTGTGAAGTTTACTCTCCAGTGCACAATGACTGAAAATCACCATTGGTTGCAGTATTTTTTTTTCCACAGCAAGTAAGAGAACTTTTAAGAAGCATAAAAGCCCTCAAAAACTTGGCCTTGTGTTGTTTTTTTTCAGCTTTCCATCATTCCCATTCATTCCCAAAACATGTAATCTCATTGTTGCTCGAGTACATAACCGTGTTTTTATACTTCCCTAGGCACAAGAAATAATGAATCTAAAATCAACAGCAGAACATAATAAAAATGGGATGGCAGCCCAGGGGAACAGCGGGAAGTTTTAAAATATGAACAAGTTTCGATGCCAAGGACTAAGAGGTTCCTCTGAACACAGCATAACTTCTTTGTGATGATGAGCCCTGTGGTTTCTATGCAAATCTCCTTCTGAAGGAGCTAAACATCGCCAGTCCATAAGAATGAACATCAGTGCCCCGATAAGCTGGTTGAGGGTATGACACCTTGAGTGAAATCTCTGAAGAATTGCACCCATTCACCCTTTCTATCAGAGGTCTCCAAACTTGGCAACTTTAAGACTTCTGGGAGTTGAAGTATACAAGTCTTAAAAGTTGCCAAGTTTGGAGACCCCTGCTATATATGCTGAAAAGCTCAGTGGGCCAGGCCCCTAAATCTTGACCATCAAAATGTTCTCCTTTTATTCCTTTCTAGAATCTGTCAGGTGCATTGCAGGAGAACCTCAATAGTGCAAAACGTGAAATTTTCAATTCAGAAGACCACAACGAACAGTAGCCACTTGGGAAATTCATCCCAAAGATGCCTTCACCCCCCCCCCAAAAAAAGTCAACTTGGACATCCTTGGGTTTTTGGGTTTTTTTGGAAACATTTCACTTCTCATCCAAGAAGCTTCCTCAGTTCTTTTTGGAAGAGGAGTAAAACATTTTGGAAGGAAAGAAAATTGAAGAAAATCCAGTTCCCTTTGGGGGAAAAAGCAGCTTTGGGACAACCATGACCTGAATGATTGAGAATCTCCATAGACATAAAGAAAGGCATATTTATTTATTAAATTTATATATCTGTTTATCTCAAGAGAAATGTCTCAAAAACCCAAGGGAAAAATAAGTCTGGAGAACGCAGTTTGTTCAGGATTGAGCACTCCTGATGACTACCTCTTCATCCAAGAAGGGGGTGTTGGTAACTGAGTTTTGGTGCCTTCCTTTCTTCAGAGGGGACAACTGGGTCCTTCCCTAAGAGAGATGACGGCCAGTTCTGCTTCCAAGCCTTGCATTCTAGGCTTCCGGGATTCCCATGACAAGAACTGTTGGAGGCAGGTATGGAGGCCAACTACTTTGCATCCAAAGTCAGCCATGGATGCTCTACCTGTCAGCTGAGCCTGGACAAAGTAAGTGATAGCATCGCCCAAGACCAAAAAAACAAACAAAAAGGCTCTGGATCTGTAGCATCTTTCTCATTCTGAATCTTGAATTCCATGTACCTCTGCTTTTGTTTCTTGGTGCAAGGTCATCTCATGTACAGTTTTAAAGTTGAGTCCTTTGTATTCGTTATTCTGGACTCTGTAATTATATAATCCTAGCCAGTATATGTATGTGAATTTGTTTGCAAGTATACATTTTTGTGAAGTTGGTAAGCAACACCTTCAATTATTTCTTAGACCACCATCTCTTCTGAATCGGATCCTTTCTTTCTCTTACACTTCTGCTCCACTTTCAACAACCCCAATTTCCCAATTTCCTGTCTTTTAAGAAATGTCTTGTTTACATTTTGCCTTGAACTCCCAATGACAATCTCTGGGCAAACAACTACAGAGTCCAAAGCTTGGCGCTATCAAAAGTCATGATAAAGTGGGGAGATAAATCATTTCAAGTTGAGTTAGAATGCATACATTCCAAGGTTTGAGCAGAGAAGAAAGGAAGGAAGGAAGGAAGGAAGGAAGGAAGGAAGGAAGAGAAAGAAAGAAAAGAAAGAGAGAAGAAAGAGAGAGAAAGAGAAAAAAGAAAGAAAGAAAGAAAGAAAGA